ACATATTGCTGAAGCCTACCTTGCAGGATTTTGAGCATAACCTTGCTAGCATGTGAAATGAGTGCAATTGTATGGTAGTTGGAGCATTCTTTGGCACTGCCCTTCTTTGGGACCTGGAAGCAGACTGATCCTTTCCAATCCTCTGACTACTGCTGAATTTTCCAAACTTGTTGGTATATTGAGTGTAGCACCTTAACAACCTCATCTTTTAAGATTTTAAATAGTTCGACTGGAATGCCATCACCTCCACTGGCCTTGTTGTTAGCCATGCTTTCTAAGGCCCACTTGACTTCACTCTCCAGGATGTCTGGCTCAAGGTCAGTGCACATTAATAATTGGGGAGTGTGACTTAATTCAGATTAAGCACTCCTCAAATAATCCACATTAGAACAAGAATAGTTTCAAACAATTTATTCTTCCTGAGAAAATACAGTGGTACCTCGACTTTCGAACGTCCCTACTTGCAAACTATTCGAGTTACAAACCATTTGCAAACAAGTTGCTTTGACTTGCGAATGGGGCTCGACTTATGAATCAAAAAAAGAGAGACAAAAAAGCCTTTCCTGCCCTTTTTTTGACCTAAGTTCACCTTAGGTCAAAAGAAAAGTGTTTTTTTTAAAAAAAATTCACACCCTTGTGGTAGAGTACGGATTAACCAGCTTTGCATTAGTTCCTATGGGAACTAATGCCTCTAACTACGAACAACGCTTTGACATACGAACGCAAAACAGCAGCTACGGATTAAATGATTTTCAATGCATTCCTATGGAAAAGTTTGCCTCAACTTCCAAACTTTTCGACATGCGCCTTGACATACGAACGCAAAACAGCAGTATGGATTAAGTTCGTAAGTCGAGGTACCACTGTACATTTTTTTCTCCCAACTGCTAGGAGTTTTGCACCTAAGCTTAAAGAGAACAGGGAAGTCTGAAGAGGGTGGCAGGTGATATTATAGTTCTTCTTATTAAGACAGTGCCAGGGCTTTGCTCCTGCAAGCCTTTGCTCTACTACTCAACTGCCCCTCCCCTAGTATTTATCCATCTATATCCTTTCTCTGACGTAGATATGTGCTGGTCTAGAAAAAAAACAGTTCTTTAGAACTGGCCTGATAGTATATTTTGCTGTGGGAAAACAATATGTAAGCTGTTTGTTTTTAAATAATTGAGCATCAAGTACAGACTATAACAGACAAAGGCCTCTTCTTCAGGCATTTACTTTGGCTACAGAGGTAACCACTCGCTGCATTCAGGATAGCGGTAGGGCTACCTTGATCCTCACGTTATCCTATGCAAGGTGCAATTGAGCCACCCAATAAATAGCTGCTCAAGCTTCAGTCATCCTAAACCTAAAAAATTTTTTATCCTGCAATGAAACCCTCCATTCAAATTGCTTGTCTTTGCTTTTCTAATTGTCTATTTGGTCAATGCATTTTCTTCTGACCATGTGTTATCCAGGTTCCAGTGGTGGGAGTCATGACAACAGGAGGCGGGACAAGATCATTTACAACAACATATGGCTGCATGAGTGCTCTCCAAAAATTAAATCTCTTAGACTGCATAACATACATATCTGGCCTGTCTGGCACTTCATGGTAAGTAAAGCTTAATGTCCTTGTGGAGACTATTAATGGATTGAGAAGTGCCATGTTGGAATATCTGCCAACGCCATCATGCCTTTATACAGCTCTATGGTGTGTGTGAGCACAGTTGGAATTCTGTGTATTCCAGTTCTGTTCAACATACACTTGAACAGTACATAAGGTCCAGAGAAACCTAAGCAATGGTAAATATTCTTCCACTGTTATGTTCCTGCCTTTTTGAAGTTGGGTTAGGATGTTAGAGTTTTTTTCCTTCCCATGATTCCGTTTCTGTTTTCTTAGTGAAGCAGAAATTTGCCACTGCCAAATTTCCTAATACCTGTCTCCTGTTTCTCTTTCTATGTCCACTGTGCTGGAGGTGTACAAATAGTTCTTCCAGAAATGTGTGTGCAAGCAATAATGCTAATGAGATTTCTTTCATAGGCATCTAGAAATGCACAAGTACAAGCATGGACATCAGAGCCATAACTACAAATGTTATCCTCTGGGGCTTTGCTTTCCGATTAGTTAAGCTTGTAAGGTTGCATATCCCCAATATTGTCTTGTGATCTTCCATTTTAAAACATACAGTAGAAGCTGGTTGGAAGAAGAACTCTGATCTTTGAAACACAAATGGGACTCACAGGTGCATACATACGAACACAGACGTGTAGACATACACAGAGTCCTTGTAGTCAAATTAATTTTTAAAAAAGAAGAAAAAAAGGCATAGTCCAAGCACTATGTCACATTGAAAATATCTCTCACATCACAATGTAGCTTTTCAAAAAGGATAAAGTACAGGAGAGGTTTGATAGAGTTCTTCTCCTTTGACATGAGCTCAGCGTCTTTCTTGTATAGTACCGATAGTTTCTATTCCGCTCTTTTTCCTCCCTAAGCCCTACTTTTAAATAAATTATAGTTCTTAAATTTTAATATATTAAATCTAACAAATATCAGATTCAACATGAGAAATCTGTAGGGGTGATACTCTACACCCTGGACTTTTTTGCTTTATGTTACTGTTGTTGCAGAAACAGCCATGATTTTGCTGGTGTTTTTGGCATTCAGCTGAAAATGGTGATCAGCTCTCCTATCGAGGTTTAGGGCCCCGATACTTGAC